CTAGTTGTCAAATAGAAATCCATTTTATGATTAAAACAACTGAATATCTCCTGTAATATACTTTATTTCGATTCCATATTTTTGTCAGAGCTATAGTTCTCATAACGAAACATAATTACAAAATTTCAACTAGTTTCATAAAGAATAATGAAAGATATAATTGACTGAATACATCAAAATGGATTTCTATTCGGACAACCCTTTCTGAACGCTGATTGGCTAAAATACGAACACGAGATCACCTGGTTGGATGCCAAGTTTGAAATGCTGGTATCCATAATGGATACTAGTAAAAAAAATCCAATCTTGAACCCTGGACCTTAATGAAGTAAATAGTCAATATGACATTCTATAATTCTTGTCTTCAATAGTGATTGTGGTAACAGACAGAGATACTGGGCGACCTCGTGGATTTGGATTTGTGATTTTTGAAGATGAACGAGATGCAAAAGAAGCGATTGACGCCCTCGATAACACTGTATGTCATTTTTGAATTTCCCTATTTGTCTACATTTGTCATATGAATTTTTTTTCTGTGCTGGTGTTGTGTACTCAGGTGAATAATATGTTTTGTGATGTTACTCTGAGTGCATATCCACACCGGGCGAGCTTGAAAAATATCCCACCGTGGCCGGGCATATTTTTCAAGCTCGCCCGGTGTGGATATGCACTCAGAGTAACATCACAAAACATACATTTGTCATGTTCAGAGGTGTAACTTAACACTTGCCTGCTTGCCCAAGCAGACCCAGGGCAAGTGAATATCATGATTGGGCAGGTTACCTTGCCACAAAAAGCTGGGCATTTTTTAGTTTATGTTTTCATTGTCGGATAAATTTTTTATAGTGGATGTGCTTGAATCAAATTTTGTTCTTTGTGGGCCAAAGCTAGATCTGAGGCAGTATAACATAGCCATATAGAGCAGTGCGAGAACGAGTGGACATGTTGTCCCCTTAATTTATACCCCCTACCATTGTGGCCATTGTCTGATGGCAAGTGAATTTTATTCAGGGCATCTAATTTTCATGTCGAAGGCAAGTGGTAAAAAAAGTAAAGTTACACCACTGATGTTGTTGTCGCAGTTTGTACAGAGTTGAATGTCGAAGTTTTACTTGTGTTTCAGGGTTCGAATTAGCGGCTCACTACATACAATTTGCGAATGGCGTTTTGCAAAAACAATGTGTTAAAGGTGATCTACAGTCCGATCTGCGCGTGTGCACAAAGGAGCCCACTAGTTATGATACAAACAGTTTAACTATGTTTTGGGTTCTTGAAAAGCCTGATTATTGTTTCTTGATCATTTATTATACTCTAGAAGCTTGAAAATATAAATCGTTGTCGAATAAAGCTCAATATTTTGGACACAAAAATGTAAACAAAGGCTTTGTTTACATACGGCCTGTAGAGCACCTTTAAGGTTTACTTAAAAGGTTGATTTTCACAATGACTTTGAATGTATTTTACTATAATGGCAGATATGGAGTATTTTGCTGACTATTATTTATGTGTGAAATATGAAGAATATGGCTACAATTTCTTCGGAAAAAAATTACAAAATTCGCCAATGAAACAACAGCCATTTTGTTTTTCGCAAGCAGTGTTTCCACTTTTCGAAACTGAAATTTCCTTCAAATTTTCAAGATTTGTCCTGTCTAATTCGAACCCTGTATTTTTTGGGTAGTTTCATCTATCTAAATTTTCTGATGTTTTTGGACCTCCGTAAGCTGGCACATATTGGAGTTTGTAATCTTTGTATCATCTTTTCAGGAAGTGGACGGACGCACAATCAGAGTGAGCGAATCAAGGCCACGTGGCGATGGTGGTGGACGGAGTTCCTATGGTGGACGTGGTGGTGGACGCGGTTATAGTGGCGGTCGTGGTCGAGGTTATAGTGGCGGTGGTGGCCGTTATGGTGGTGGAGGTGGTTATGGTGGAAGATCTGGTGGTGATCGTTATAGTAGTAGTGGTGGTGGTGGTTACGGAAGTGGTGGCAGATCTGGTGGTAGTAGCAGATATGACAGCTATTAGTAGGTAAGTCAAAATTGGTACCACTGAGTCGGCTGTTGCGGTATATCGATATACTGATAATTATCAGTTTTTAATAAATACCGATTATTCGCTATTGAAGTTTTCGATATCGGAACACGCCTGACAAAAATGCATGCTAACGTGCTTTAATTTCTTCAATTTCGCATAGACATAGAACATGTCATTCTTAGAAATCGTATGTTTTTTGTTTTTCGAATTGCTACATTTTTGGTGGGAAAATGACGTCACAAACTTGCTGCTAAAAAATTAACAGTTAGCTATTGCTAATTTTATGCACTTATTCGGTAGCCGACATTGAGAGAGTCCGAAAACTGAACTCCGTTTCTAAATACGGTTATTTCTCGCGAAGATATACCGGTACAAATGTCGAAAAATCGGCCATTTTTTGCTAAAAATAGAAGAAAATGGCCGATTTTTAGAAATTTGAGTCATGATATCTTCGCAAGGAATGTTTGTATTTCGAAACAGACTTCAGTTTTAAGACTCTCAATGTCTGCTACCGAATAAGTGCATAAAATTAACAATAGCTAACTGTTAATTTTTTAGCGGCAAGTTTGTGACGTCATTTTCCCGCCAAAAATGTAGCAATTCGAAAAACAAAAAACATACGATTTCTAAGAATGACATGTTTTCTATGTCTATGCGAAATTTTGTTGAAACAGGATGAAAATTAAAGAAATTGAAGCACATTAGCGCTTTGGCATGCATTTTTGTCAGGCGTGGAATATCGATATTTTTCGGTATTATAGATATCATGTTTACGTTTGTATATTTAAATGTCATATCAAGCTTCGTCAAGCGCTGATTAGAGTTATTTCAGAAGAACAAAGACAATGTGTTAACTTTGCTGGAAAGTCTGTAATTAGGGTTAGAGCGAGAGCTAAAAAGTCTTTGTTTACGTTGGCGTTGCAAGGTATAATATTATGTCATTTCGCTTGTCAAGAAGTGAACTTTTTAGAACGTAAACAATGCTGGATTACAAATGTTTTAAAAAAACAAAATAGGACAATCTTTGTTTCGAATTCACACTGATTCCTTTAAAGTATTGGATGTAGTATTTTGTTGAGCAAACATGTTGTTGACTTTTGAACATTTGCAAGAGTTCTATAACATTTAAAGTTTGCTAGTTCACAGCAACAAGGTATATCAGTCATGTTTTCGCTCGCCACATTGGTTTTTATAAGTTGAAATGAATTCACCATCCAATGTTTCAACACTCCAGTCAAGCGTCTTTATCAGTGGTCATTAGCAAGCGAAAATATATAACATTTGTTTCGTAACCCTCGTTTAGTTGGTACCATCGATACTTTTTGTGTTCTGTTACTCGATCTTGATACAATGTTTATTCTGTTCTCGTACAATAAAGGCACACGATGACCGGCTCCTCGAAATATCTGTGATCAAATTGCATTCTATGAAACTTTCAACACTTGTTATGTATCAATTATGACACTGGTCGTTCCATCAAAGACTCATGGCCAGTTGAACTATTTAGGTGATCTTGTCAATCGAGAGAAGACCAGAGCAATGATGTCAACTTTATTTTTAGCTCATTACGTAATGTCAATGTTGTCCGATTAAAAATTATTTACTTACCGTCTTCTGTGATTCACTACAGCCAACAGTACCTCATGTCAGAGTCCACAAAACCAGTTTGAAACCTGTTCGACAAAACCAGTTTCAATCTTGTATGAACTTGCTTGCTAAACCCAAAACCGGTTGGAATCCTGTATCGAGTGGTTATCAGAACTACCTAACCAGTGTGAAAGCTGCTTGAACTTGTTTCATAATAATATTTTCTACAAGCTATTGAAATTAATTAAGAAAAGTTAATTTACTTGTATTGAATGACTAATTCGCATGTCAGTCGGCTAATATGTCAACATGAACTCCCGTTGTGATTTCATATGTGAACTTGCCGAATTAAGGATAAAACTGTAATCTGTTGAATTGGATAAAACCGGTAAAACCAGTTAAAACTTGTTCTGTCCTCGTCAAGTGATCTACTGTTGTGCTCGACTACAATGTGTTCTGCCTTGACTGCTAGTCTTACGTTCAAAGTCCGAAATAACGTCGTGTTCCAATTTGAGGTGAAGTCCAAACAAAGAAACCTGGACCTAGGGGCTTCACCCGGCAGGCGGCACTTGATTTGCAGGTTAATCGACTTCAATGACGTCACGAGGATTGCCTAGGTTCCAATCTTCTCGCGTGAAAACGCGCTGAAATACGAAGAGAAGGCCCTAAGCTGGGGTCAATTGACTTCTAGTCCAAAACACGAACAATGGACAAGGATTGAGTAAGATGTGCCTTTGTGAAACTGTAAGTAGTTTCTGATCCGCATCCTTCTTCAAAACACCGTCGACTAATTTCGTGTCCTCTGGATCTCAAGGAAGAACAATTGGAGCTATCCACTGTAAATAAAGTTAGTTTAGGTTTTCTCCTTTAGTACCGGCTTCTTACTGTTACGCATACGCCATATGTCGCGTTATTTACGGCAATCTACAACAGACTCGCTGTTGGGCAAATGTTCTTGGCTTGTCCTTGAGTATATTACAAATCCTCTCCTGGTACTTCTTTGCGGTTTTGCCCAATATGAAACTGAAAGACTCCAGTATTTTATGCAGACCTTGTCCGTGCTAGTCATAGCAATAGCAACGGTTCATGCTACGCAAATTCCCAACGATTCGCATTACCCAAACCCGTACAAACATACCGTCTCCCCAACCTATTTAGATGCATGTTCATTAGCATGCAGGGTGCGAGAATTCATGATTTTAAGTCTTACCTGACTGGTACGCCAATGGTGGTTGCTGCGTACTCGTGCGTACTCGCGCTAGTACAAACTCAGTACTCGATGTGTACTTAAGTCGTCAAGATAAGGTTCATAAAGTACAGGTTTCTGAAAAGTATGTTCAGACTACGAGATAAATATACAAACAATCGACTCCAACGTTTCTTAGTGCCATCAGTCCAATCCTGTTTCATGCCAAGACATTTGCAACACATGACATGCTCGTGCTATTCATTAAAGTCTCACCCCCTCTGAACTTTAACGAATTGATATCGGCAATTAGATCAGTAAAACAAACTTTGCCCCCCACCCTTGTGTAAAATTTTTCATATCTCCCAAAATCTGGGAAACACGAGACAAGCGGGATCAAGGGTCTCCTTCAGCGAGGAGCGTAGAGAAACGAGGTTGGAGAAATCCTAACACTTTGTCCTTTTTGTTTACAGAAAATTATGCACGCTCTTCACGAAGTAAAAGCTAGGGGCAGGTGAGTTTCTGGAAAACTCTATCACTTCTGAACTGTTTCTTCCTAGAGTTCCAGTAAGGATCATCTCTTATTGATCCAGTGTTACTACAGGAGGAAACCTAAACTAAGCTAACTTTATATATACTGGATAGGTCCTCTAGCGAGGGCAATCCCTTGTTGCTCCAGTGTTAGAAGTATCGACGGGAGAAACCTGTTGTGTGTAGTGCAGTCAAGCCAGCAACGCTGTATTATAATTGTGTTTCCAGGGTCGTTTTATCATATTTTGTTCCAAAGGTGACGAGGAAGTTAAGAAATATGCATTCCGTCATGTGGAAGTACCAGCGACAGTTGACTGTCTGCAAGAAACCGTGCTGCAAGGAATACTCACTGTAATACCACTACAGCTGCTCTCGTTTCACGTGCCTGCCTTCGTGGTTATGACGTAAGTATTACGTGTTATGACGTCATAGTTGGAAAGGTTTGCCATCCAGTCACGATCCAGTGATCAGAATGTTCCATTGTCTTTTCATTGTTTTGAAAATCTCACTCTTCTCCATGCCATCCATGCAGTCATGATCCAGTGATCAGAATGTTTCATTGTCTTTTCATTGTTTTGAAAATCCCACTGTTCTCCATGCCATCCAGGCACAATCCAGTGATCAGAATGTTTCATTGTCTTTTAAATGTTTTGAAAATCTTACTGTTCTCCATGCCTTCCAGTCATGATCCAGTGATCAGAATGTTCCATTGTCTTTTCATTGTTTTGAAAATCCCACTGTTCTGCATGCCATCCAGTCATGATCCAGTGATCAGAATGTTTCATTGTCTTTTCACTGTTTTGAAAATCTCACTGTTCTCCATGCCATCCAGTCACGATCCAGTGATCAGAATTTTGAAACGCCTCAGTGTTCCAAATCACTGCAATCAAGTGACATTCTCGTGTACTATATATTCTTATCATTTTAGGTTGATTGTCCTCGAAATTTGGCAAAATCTGTGACAGTTGAATGAGAAGTCTACCAATACCAGGCAGCATTGTTATTCACGTAGAATAAAGTTATAGATACATTCAGCAAATTAATGACACGGCAATGATGACCGGGCAATCCGCGCACGAATTTTATGCTCAACACTTCTCGAGTCCACGCATTACAAGCTGATTCAATCACGCGAAGCACCGGTCTTATTTTCAATAAAGACAAAATTTTACCATAAAATGAACTAATGAAGTTAATACCAGTGTTACTAAGGAAGGAAACCTAAACTAAACTAACTTTATTTATACTGGTTAGCTCTATCAGTTCTAAACTGTTCTTCCTAGAGGTCCAGTAAGGATCATCTCTTATTGATCCAGTGTTACTACAGGAGGAAACCTAAACTAAACTAACTTTATTTATACTGGATAGTTCTATCAGTTATAAACTGTTCTTCCTAGAGGTCCAGTAAGGATCATCTCTTATTGATCCAGTGTTACTACAGGAGGAAACCCAAACTAAACTAACTTTATTTATACTGGATAGCTCTATCAGTTCTAAACTGTTCTTCCTAGAGGTCCAGTAAGGATCATCTCTTATTGATCCAGTGTTACTACAGGAGGAAACCCAAACTAAACTAACTTTATTTATACTGGAT